TGAAACGATTCCGGTGAATAATGTTGCAGAAATCATCAAAATACTGAGTATCGGGAGGTACCGTTATATTGGGGCTATACGAAAACGTGGACCGACACGGCCCATTTACGAACTTATCCTGCCTACTGGTGAACTATACAAAATTTTAGCCTTCTATCTCAATTCGTTCGAAATATAGCGTGACTACAACAAACAGACAGGCGTAGGTAGGTTCTGTTATGAATATTTCGAGGAGTTACAAACGGAATGACAAAGTTAATATACCCTCCGTAGAATGGTGGAGGACATATCAACTTATACGTTTTTGAAAGGTGAATGAGATTGTGAACGAAATTACACATGTTTTTGGGATAGTCGTCCATTCATTGTTCTACTTTCGGCCAAAGCTGTTATATATTTATACCCTCCTCCATACATAGTATGGAGGGTATATTAAATTCGTCATTCCGTTTGTAACTCATCGAAATAATCATTTTAGACCCAACAAAGCATATATATTCTTGATCAGCGTAAAATTCTAAGACGATTTAGGCCTCTCCCTCCATCTGTTGTAATCACGCTACAGGCTAAACGAATTAATATAGAAAGCTAAAATTTCTCTTTCCAGATGTCTCTTTTGTCTGCAGGCACGACAAGTTCGAAGAGGGGCTACTTCGGTCCACGATATCGTATAGCCCCCATATAACGGTACCCCCGATATCCGGTATTTTGATGATTTTAGCCACATTTTTCAAAGGAATTGTATGAAAATCCACACAGTCTGTTCTCTACTGCATAAAAATCCACACGAGGAGTTCTTTGTGGGCACTGAAAGAGAATTGTCTATATAGGTCCCCGATATCGTATATCCCCCATATAACGGTACCCCCATATTCGGTATTTTGATGATCTTAGCCACATTGCCTGAAATTCTACACAAGGAGTACTTTGTGAGTACTTTATCCCTTGCTTGAGAATTATCTATATAGGTCCACGATATCGTATAGCCCCTATTTAATCCACCCCCCCTATATTCTGTATTTCTATGATTTTAGCCACATTTTCTAATAGAATAGTCTGAAAATCCACACGAGGAGTTATTTGTGGGCACTTTAGCCCCTGAAAGAGAATTGTCTACGTATGTCCACGATATTGTATATCCCCCGTATAACGGTACCCCCGATATTCGGTATTTCGATGATTTTAGCCGCAGTTTTCGAAGGAATTGTCTAAAATTCTACACAAGGGGTTACTTGTGAGCACTTTACCCTCTGAAAGGGAATTGTCTATATAGGTTAAAAATGTCGTATAAACCCCATATAACGGTATCAACCGATATTCGGGATTTTGATGATTTTAGCCATATTTTCCAATTGAATGGTCTGAAAATCCGCACAACGAGTTCCTTGTGAGCACTTTACCTCCTGAAAGAGAATTGTCTATATAGGTCCAAGATATCATATAGTCCACATATAACAGTACCCCCGATATTTGGTATTTTGATGATTTTAGTCACATTTTTCAACGGAATTGTCTGAAATTCTATACAAGGGGTTCTTTGTGAACACTTTACCCCCTGACAGGGAGTTCTGTATATAGGTCAATGATATCGTATATCCCCCATATAACGGTACCCCCCGATATTCGGTATTTTGATGATTTTAGCCACATTTTTAAACGGAATTATCTTAAGTTTTATACAAGGAGTTATTTGTGAGTACTTTATCCCTAGACATAGATTTATCTATGTAGGTCCACAATATCGTTTATCCCCTATATATCGGCACCTTCCGAGATTTTAACAGAATTTTTAATGGATTTTATTTTTTGGAAATGTCCTAATTCGTTCCAAATGGTGGAGGGTATTCAAAGTTCGGCCCTGCCGAACTTACTGCTTTTTTACTTGTTTCAGTTGGATCAGTGCAAAAGTGGAGTAAAAATAGAACTGTATTGTAAAATTAAATACATTTCAAAATGACAAATCTTGGCATAATTATTGAAACGCAAGGTATTGACTTAGTTTTAGTGTAGTAATTTGTGTGTTTAATAGTTGTGTGTAATATAGAATATGTGCGTGTTCTGAATTGTCTTTAAGATTAATTTTAACAATAAAATTGGATTTCAGTTAAGATTTTAATTGTTTTCCCTTCTGAATCCTCCAATGTGATTTTTTCCACGCTATTAGTAATGGGCCTAAGATTCTAAAACTGCTAGTTTAACTCTCTGATTTTGTCAGATGTGTATGTTATCCCCAAAATATTGAGTGACTTCGCTGCAGTTTTGTTAGTTTTATGGCGAGTTTCTGCGGAAATAAGAGAAATTGATAAAAATGTAATTAAGAGGAGTTCAATATTGTTACAAGCATTGTGTTCTGGGTACAATATTATTGTCGAAAAAATTAAGGCCTTTGCACTGGGAACTGCTAAAGAGTTAACAAATAGATATCCATGTTGCTATCTTCCACCCATAGTACATACAATTTTAATACATGCTTCCGACGTTATAAAATATGCCATGGTATCGATTGGAGAATTATCGGAGGAGACCGCGGAGTATAGAAACAAAGACATAAAAAATTTTCGACTAAACATACCCGAAAAAATTTCGTGTTTTACAACATACAGATCTTATTAACCGTCTTCTTCTGAGCTCTGACCCTTTTATAACGGGACTGCGAACGTTACCAAACAATAAAAAATCTTTGTTATTAAAGCCTCTGCGTGCTGGTTGTCTCTGGCAATAGGTGGTTCCGTGACGATACCTCTTCCGGATTATATTCCTCTGCTCAGGCCCCTCGATGGGAAAAGTCGTCAGAACTAATGTGCCGGGGACCTTTCGGTCCTCCTGATAGCAGTTCGGGAGACCTTTCGGCCCTCTCGATCGTAAAAACTTCAAATATTATAGTCGCGAGACCTCTCGGCCCTCTCGATCTGAAAAACATTAATTTTTATAGTCGGGAGACGTTTCAGCCCTTTCGATCGTAAAAACTTCAAATATTATAGTCGGGAGACCTTTCGGCCCTCTCGATCGTAAAAATCTTCAAATATTAATTTTCACTAGCACTTTATGTTGGGGATTGGGTTGGGGTTACTTTTCATATTTCCTCAGTACAGTAAACTTACCCAAAGATTTTGTCCACCAGCTGCCAGCACGTTGCTCCAATTCACTTTTTCTTTTTTTCACCGCCGATATTCCCCGAGACTTTGGTATCGACGTCTTCCGATTTAATGTCTGCGCACGATGGACGTTCTTCACTCACTCACTCCCAATTCCCTCAGCACATCCCCTTTATACCAAATTCCGGTAAATAATGTCGCTAAAATCATCAAAATACGGAATCTCGGGAGGTACCGTTATATGGGGGCTATACGAAGACGTGGACCTGCACAGACAATCTCCTCTCATAGGCTGTAGTATCTATTACGAACCTCAACTACCAAAGACAAATATAATTTGTTTACCATTTAAAACAAAACACAATAATTTGTTTATGCAGTTGTTAATTCACATTTCGTGTTAATCGTTCACTTAAATCGTACCTGAATCGTTCACCAATTTATTTATTTGCCAAGAGAGACCCAGATATTGGCGGTAATCGCGTGGGCTATGCAAAGAAGACCATGCCCAAAGTGCATTTTAGAGTTTCCGCACCCAGAAGCCCTTCCAGCGAAATTGCCAAGCCAGAAGCCACTTGGGCCTGACTGCCCGTCATTAACTGGTTGCCGGTTGCGATTAGACGAGGTGTCGCTTCACATAGAGGCCATATCCACACCAGCTTTTGCGTGGTATTTGGTATTTGTACCAACGGCGATAGTACGGGTAACGACCGAGGATATGGAGGACTTTGGCATGTTGTGGGCCATAATAAGTCAATCTGCTACGATGTCAAAAATATCCTAATGCAGCGTTCTGTCATTTGGGTATGCTGTCGAGGGTTTACAAAGGGGAGTGATTCATCACTTTCACAGTTTCGCCCCACCACACAAACAGTACTTGGCGTCTGAAGGTATATGCCTTTATAACCGAAGATCTGCCCAGACGCATTTACTCAGATCTGATACTAAAAGACCCCACCAGATAATTCAACAACTACGCCCGATTTGGATTGTTGGTTAGCCACTTACCGGCCGCCGCACAATAACATGAAACCAGAATGATGCATATAATATTAAAAAAATACACAAACTCATGCATATGCATGCAGCCACCTGTAACTTATAATGCTGAATTGCAATAAATAAGCAACCAAAAACTGGCAGACAGAAATTTGTCTGTGCAGGTCCACGTCTTCGTATAGCCCCATATAACGGTACCTCCCGATATTCGGTAATTTGATGATTTTAGCGACATTATTCATCGCAATTGCTGCAAATTTGGTAGTAGAAGTTCGAAATGCACACTACAGCCTTAGACAGAAAATTGTCTGTGCAGGTCCACGTCTTCGTATAGCTCCCATATAACGGTACCTCCCGATATTCGGTATTTGATGATTTTAGCGACATTATTCATCGCAATTGTTTCAAATTTGGTATTTGAAGTTCGTAATGGATACTACAGCCTAAGACAGAAAATTGTCTGTGCAGGTCCACGTCTTCGTATAGCTCCCATATAACGGTACCTACCGATATTCAGGTTTTTTTAATGATTTTAGCTACATTTTTAGCTACAAAAAAATCGGAGAATATTTTTTTTAAGTTTCGCATTTGAATATTGTATTGGCTTATGACAAAGGTTACTTATGCAGGTCCATGTCGTCGTATAGACCCTAATATAACAGCTATATTTAGTATTTTTAAGATTTTAACAGAATTTTTAATCGATTTTATTGTTTTTGAGAATGGACAATTTTTTATTCGGTATTTTTAAGATTTTATCAGAATTTGTAACGGATTTTATTGGTTTTGAGAATCGTCAATTTCGTTCAAATGATGGAGGGTATTCAAAATTCGGCCTGGCCGAACTTACATCTTTTTTTATTGCCGTTTATTATTTTTTGTAGTTGCAATCCTCTTCTTGATTTTTTTATAAATACATTACATAAACTGTCAAATCCGAAAAAAATAGCACGGTTCAGGATCTCCAGGATTTAAATGGCTGGATTAATCAGAAACGTTGGCCTCAGATTGGCTTCCCAAGCGGTGGCCAAAAATGGTGTTGCTGCGGCTTCAAATGTCGGTGCTTTGCGTTTGGCCAGTACTGCAACCGATGCTCAATCGAACAAACCCACTATCCGCAAGCCAAATGAGACTGCAAGGAGCCATTTATCCGATTTTGGGCGTTATGTTGCTGAGTGCTTGCCCAAGTACGTGCAAAAAGTTCAGTTAACCTCTGGCGATGAATTGGAGGTCCTTATTGCACCAGAGGGTGTAGTTCCAGTGTTGCAGTTCTTAAAGGATCACCATCAAGCTCAATTTGCCAATTTGGTTGACATTGCTGGCATGGACGTCCCCAGCCGCAAATACCGTTTTGAAGTCATTTACAGTATTTTGTCATTGCGTTATAATTCTTGCATTCGTGTTAAGACCTACACTGATGAATTGACTCTGTTTAACTCAGGGGAGTGGGGGTAAGGATTCGACAGCGGTAGCAACAACAAAACTCCCCAGAGTTGTTATGATGTGAGTTGTGTAGGTAAGAGGTTTGGTGAGGTGCGGGTGATACGCGTGTGTGGTGTAAAAAGAAAGACAAACTATAAGAAGTAAAACACAGATGAGAGAATTAGTATATTTAATATAAATTCATGGTTTTATTGGTGATTCTTTCTTTTCGATAACAATCAAATTACCTTTAGTAATTGGGGTGGCGACAGAGGCCGTGTGTTTATGCTTCCGTTTCTAAGAGACAAGTGAACGCAATGGTTCTGAGTGACCGCTGAGGGTCCGATGTCTGTCTACAATTACAACTACAACTACTTCCAATGAGAGCAAGGTGAGCCTACCGACAACAACCAATGCCCAGCGACGATCCGCTCACTACGGTCTCCGCCAGGGGAGTTGTAGAGGAGATGCCTGTGCGCCAATCAGCATCCGTGATTGATCGAGCATTGGAAAGTTGTGGTGGAACGTATCGAACTTATACATTCCGGCCCCCTTGCTAGAACTACGAGTCTAGCAATTAATATCACTTTGTTATAAGTTAGGAGAGAACGTAAATTCAGATTCCTAAGTGAGCTATAGTTGCAGATTTTCAAATTATCAAAGCGATATGACGAATTATAAATAGATGCGATTTACTATTACATGTTTAGCGCAAGTGACTATTTCAACAGGTTTTGATTATATATGATACGATTCTTTTCTAAATTGGACGATTTCAATTCTTGATGCAAGATTAGGATACAGTCGCGGGAGGTACTGAACCGGTAAGGATGTACCCGAAAAAAGATTTTTGGGCCAGCAACGAATCCAAAACAATTTTTGGAGGTTCAGCTTCTATAATTTTAGGATACAAGTCAGCGCCAAGTAGCAAATCTATTGAGCTATTATCGAAAGAATCCGCTAAATCTAAGTTAGGAATCCGAGTCTTCAAATTGCTAATAGATGGTGACGAAAACAACTTCCCCTTTACTTTGGGTAAGACTAACGCTTTTGTTTCCACAATTCTTGATGCGTTTTTAGGAGAAGACAACTTAAGCAAACAAACTTCTTTTGGCGAATTAGATTTAGATTTGATTTTCAAAGGACAAGTTGAAATTCCAATTGCATTTTTGAGTTTCTTACTTACAATCGATGCTTTAGAGGAAGGATCTACAATTGCACGAGTAGTGTACGACTTACCATCATGAACAATATTTACCAGTGCAGTTCCCAAGAGCACATGATCTTCAATGGTGTTGGAAGACTGACTGTTTGAATTATTTTTAGCAGAAGGTGGGTGCGTTTTAGAAGACTTATGTCCTCGACTTTTGATCTTAGTAAAACTAGGAGGGGACTTTGTACCTCGACTTTTGATTTTAGTAAGAACCGGAGGTATTTTTTTAGAATCCGAAACTATATTTTGAGCAGACTTGCAGAACCGCGAAGATTTTGGACTTTTAATATTGTTGGAAACCGGAGATGGTTTTGAGTATAATGCTGCAACAACTCTACTAATTTGTGGCCGGTGAAGAAGGCTGTGATGCCTTTGCTTGCAAGATTTGCAACTATTTGTGCTATGACAATTTTTAACTACATGGCCACGCGAAAGACAATTTATGCAACACTTATTCTTTTTCACGATTAAGAATTTGTCCTCAAACGAAAGTTGCATAAACTTGGGGCAGAGTCGAAGAACATGACTCTCGTTAGGACAAATGGAGCAATAAGTGTTTGGCCGAGGAGATGGAGCAACACATTTTGGCTCATGTACCAATGGCTTGTTAATGGTGGAATTAGATGTGCTAGCATGCTTGGATGCTAACGACCTAGTGGAAGAGTGATGAGGTGAAACACTCTGGGATGACAACGATTTAGGCAAGAAACTAGGAGAATCAATGTTATTGGGCAGATTTCTACGCATATGTTGAATATATTGCAAAGTTTGTATTCTTTCAGTGAGGAAAGCATCTAAGTCTGGCCAGGAAGGCAACAACGACTTATTTTTGATACTTTGTTCCCACAAAGCTATAGTGGCTAAAGGCAAACGCTGTAAACAAATATACACAATGATTGGATCCCACTGATCCGTGGCGACGTCATGGACGGCCATTGCAGCGAGACAACTATTAATTCCACGTTGGACATTTTTCAAACCCGAACAAGTTTCAATATTTAGTGGAGGAATATCAAACAAGGTTTTGATGTGGCTATTTACTAGAATGCGCTTATTATCGTACGCATCCGTCAAAGCTTTCCATGCCAATGGGAAACTGCTATTGATGAGTGGAAATCTGCAACCGATTTCTCGAGCCTCACCGGTAGTCTTCTGCATAAGATGGCAAAGACGTTCAATGTCGGAAAGGCGTGCATTTTTTACAAAAAAGGTTGTAAATAAGTCGCGAAAGGTGGGCGAAGACATAAAATCACCAGCAAAGATTTCAATATCAATAGGAGGCACTACGAGAAAACGACTATCGAAGAGTGGATTGGAGCAACTATTATTGGGGGAAGATTCGGAGAAAGCATCAACGGGTGGAGAAACAGACTGCACAGGAACCGATAAGAGAGGTTCGCTCGAAAGCAAGCCTGAAGGTGGTGTTCTATTAGATTCATTACAAATAGCTGTGTTTGGTACGTTAGAACTGGGAGCAGGTAAGGACTGAGGAGCCTCAGCAGGAGAGCCAATTTCATTGAGTGGGGATTTAAGGCGGACAAGATGCTTGTTTATGGTGGTCAAACACCAATGATATGCAATAAATGCATTATTGTACTTTTCCTCAACGACATCAAAATGGTCAGTCTGTGCAGTCTCGGATGCCGTGAGGTAGTTTTTACACTCAGCGTAGGTGATCAAAACCTTTTCCCACAATTCTCGTATTTCCGAAATACGGATTTCAAGATTAAATACTGTAAACTGGGATTCATTTATCTGTTCGAAGTATTCAACAGACTTGAGAACAGTGTTAGTAGCTCTAATTAATCGAGTAACTGGTGTTATCGACATTCTGTTACGTGGAGTAGACGGAAAAACAAAGCAAACAAATGCAACTACGAGAAATAAAAAGCTCCCTCAAGAAACCTCCACGAATTTGGTAAAATTGGGAATGAAAACAAAGCTAAATAGGAGAAAATTTAAGAAAAACTTTTCCTATATGGCAAAAACTACAAAATTTAAAAAGAATAAAATTACTCCAATATTAACAAAATTAAGATAATTAATACTTTAGTAATGCCGAAAGTAGGGTGTATTCTTCCAAAAAATACCCAAAACCCTACAGAGAATCACAAATAGTGTAAACAACTGTGATTTATTTACCCAAACAATTACGAAATAGCCACACAAACAAACAGATTCAACTAATATGTGCTGCCTCAATATATGCACAGAATGCCGAATGTAGGGTGAATTTGTCAAAAAATTTCAAAAACCCTACGTAGAGTTGCAATTGCAAGCAGAAGTTAAACAAAATGTAAAATTAACCAAAAAACGATTAATTTGCACCAATATGTTTCACTAAATATGTCTGCAAAGAATGCCGAATGTAGGGTGAATTTATCAAAAAAAAATATTTCAGAAAATTATCGAAAAATAATTTCTAAATTAAATTTAAAAAATTCACAAATTATGCTGTTTTACCCCACTGTGCCGAACCAACAACGGATATCGCACAAAGAGGAATAAAACACAAGCGACGTCGGCAGAGAAATGACTATGCGTAAGCAGCTACGCACCCACACAACAAGCGACGCCACAAACGATCCAACAGTGAGAGTTGGAGATCAAAACAATTTGTTGTTATTTTTACTGTATATCAAACCGACGCTAAAAAGGGCGCGTGGAATGATGAAGTATTTTTGTTGCAATTTTTGGCAATGCAAATTCTCAAGTGAGAATTGATCGACGGTTAGAAACAAACGAAGAAGAATTGCAACAACAATAAATGCGCGTTGGCGACGACGACAAAGTACTCAACCGACAGATAGATGCACTGTTATTACAAGAGTGTTGTTATTGTTAATTAGAAACAAACAATTCTCGTTAAAGGGCTCAACCTTTGAAACGTGAAGGGGGATAACAACAGCGAACGTTTGGTTGGTGAGAAATTGAACAATAAATAAACCAAACGGCCAAATATAAAAGAATATGAATGTATGCTGTGGTGATGCAAATTTTTCTTCAACTAAGGCGAGGGAGTAGGGCAACAACGAGGGGAACAATTTTTTGTCAAATGAGACTTTTTTTCTCACAAAGTGTTCATTTGAAATGAGAGTTAGAAAACGAAACAAATGAACGAAGCGGAACAAGAGCACCAAATATTTTTGTATGATCAACGCGACAACGGATGATCAGTACAAAGAAAGCTAATTATTTTTACAACGACAGAACTACTTGTTGTAGGGAAATGCACTTAATTAACACAAGAAGTGTTAATATAAGTCGACCAACTGACTTGTTTCCAAACGAAAGGCAATTGTATGATCAACGCAACGTAGGTTGATCAGTACAATGAATAATATTTTATGCAAAGACGAGAGTGGACTGTTATAATATGTGCGTTGTTTTTGTAAATTAGAAACAACAAATTCTCATTGCAGGGCTCAGCCTTTAGAGGGGAAAAGAAATGTTGGAGTTAGAATTACAGCACAGTTTGGTTGGTGGGGAATGCAAAAACAAATAAACCAAACGACCAAATGTGATGAAATATGTATGTGTCCTGTAATAACAAATGTGGTGATGCAAATTCTTCTTCAGCTAAGGCGAGGGAGTAGAGAAACAACGAGGGGAATAAAACAACATCAACAACTCTTTAAAGATCCACTTGTTGGATCGATGTAAAATGAATTGTGAGCGAAGCAAAAAGAGATTATTGGATGTTGTTTTTGCTAATGAGTGTTGCTCGTTAAAGGGCTCAACCTTTGAAACGTGAAGGGGGATAACAACAGCGACCAAATGTGTAATATGTATTTATGTTATGGACAAAGCGATGATGCAAAATTCTCCTCCAACT